ACTTTTAGTTTCAAAATGTAAAATTTTACTTTTATACAGAGTAAAATTTTACTCTGAAAAATATAGTGAAGATGACTTAATAGGAGAACTGATAGATATGAGGATAATATAGTAAAAGAAACAAGTTTTAAAATATTAGGAAGTTTTGAAAGTACTTATATAATTCTTGTCATTTTGAAAGACAAATTAGATAGTGAGGGGGCTATCACCAAATCCCCCAAGAAAAATTAGGTTCAAGAATTAAGAAATTTACTAATTGAGTTTGATTTGTGTTATTTTTCATGAATTTAGACTCCATCTCTACATGCATCATGAATTTGGAAGGAATTTAGGTCATTCAATTTTATATTATGAAAAAGATAAAGAAAAAGTCGTGAAAAGAGTTCATGAAAAGGGTTTAATCATGGAGTTAAATGAGATTCTGATTTTTGTTTTGGAACCTAAAAATTGGTTTGATTTCCATGCATGTAATGTAATTTGAGAGTTTTATTTAATTTAAACAAATTTTAGAATATATTAAATTAGTTAGTTTTGTTTGAATTATATACATGCAATTTTTGCTAAGAAAATTGACAAGAAAATGAAGAATTAAAGCTAAAACCAAATTTATGAAGTTTAATTATAAATTAATTATTTTGGGTTTGATTTTGAAAGTTATGGTTAAACTAAGCCTGTGTTTGGCAAGTGGGTTTGCAGGCTTTTTTGGCTATTTAAGTCACAAAAAACAAAATAGGCTATTTTAGCCATAACAAACAAAACATCACATCCAACTCATAATTATTACATTATTCTCTCACAAAAAAACTCAAAAAAGCCAAAAAGCCAAAAAGTCAACCCACTTCCCAAACGGAGGCTAAGCTACATAAATTACATGCAATAAAAATGGGGGATTTGGTGATAGCCTCTTCACTATCTAATTTGTCTTTCAAAAGGACAAAAATTATATAAGTACTTTCAAAACCCCCTAATATTTTAAAACTTGTTTCTTTTACTATATTACCCTCATAAAATTTTACTTTGTATGAAAGTAAAATTTTACTCTGTATGAAAGTAAAATTTTACACTCTGAAACTAAAAGTAAAATTTTACTCTGTATAAAAGTAAAATTTTACTCTGAAAAACGAGTAAACTGTGAGACTTTGAAGCTAAAAGTAAAATTTTACTCTGTATAAAAGTAAAATTTTACTCTGTATGAAAGTAAAATTTTACTCTTTATAAAAGTAAAATTTTACACTCTGAAACGAGTAAACTGTGAGACTTTGAAGCTAAAAGTAAAATTTTACTCTGTATAAAAGTAAAATTTTACTCTAAAAAACTAGTAAAATGTTACTCTACACAAAAGTAAAATTTTACTCTGTATAAAAGTAAAATTTTACTCTAGTTTTGTCAAATGAAAAAACAGAACAATAGAACCAGAGTAAAATTTTACTCTGGTTCTATCAAATGAAATTTGATAAAAAAAATAACAAAAATAAATCAAAAACAAAACAAACAAAAACAAAACAAATTAATCAACAAATCAACATATCTAATTGAGAAGAAAACTTCTAAAACTCGATCAACAATCACAAATCTCAATGAAAAGAATACATATGTTCAACAACACTCATACACACAAATATATATATATATATATACATATATTCTCAAAATCTTGAATGAGGAATGTAACGGCTGCGAGATCTTCAAATTTGGAGATCGTCTTCATCGATTTTGTGAAGTATGATCGATTTGGAGATCGTCTTCATCGGCTACGAGCTCAGATTTCAAATTTTTCATACGTATGATACTATATATATAAGGGCAATGTTGTGATAAAAAAAAATAGAAATTATAAAATGTCTTTATTAAGGTAAGCATTTCTTACTCAGGGACTTTTTGAAAGAAAATTAATTAGGTTATCCTTTACCCTAATAAAAAGGCCCAAAAGGGGGGTTCCACCAAAAATCCCAATAAAAATTTATTGAAGATTTGATTCATGCAATGAAGTATATAAATAACTTTGAAGAAAAAGTTTTGAAGATCATGAGTTCATGAAATTTGAGAGTTGATTTTGAAATTAAAGGAAGTTTTGATTTAATTGAGTTGAAGATTGATCACGACTCATAATTATTTTCATGTTTTGATGAAATTTTGCATGAGTTTTGAACATGAAATTGGGTTTTAAAAGCTTAATTTATGTTTTAGAATTTATGAGTTTGAAATTGAGATTGATACGAAGAAAATGAATTAAATCTAAAATTGGACAAATTAATAAATAAATTATAATTTGAATTTGACAATCAAGAATTAGAATTTGACAATCAATAATTAGTTTAATCTTAATTTGAAATTCATATATGTAAATATTTTTCTAAGAGCCATATAGCTTTAATTTCATATTTTGTAAGAAAAAAGAAGAAAAGTTTTGAATCATTATATTCATGAAATTATAGCTTTAATGTTGACAAATTAAGGAAGGTTTTGCATTAAGATTTGGAAATTAGTTGTGTTCATATTTATTAATGACATTACTTGTTTAAATATGCATGAATCTAAGTTTTGAATGAAATTTGGAAGGCAAATCTTCAGTTTTGGAACTCATAAAATTTACCAACCGCTCTAGTGACCAATAGGTGACTTGAGCGAACATTTTAAGCTTCTAGTATTTTTATAGACAGTACAGTCTGATGGCTCGAGCAGCCAAGCTATTTTCAACATGTTTTGAAAAATCACACTTTGTTTATCTTTTTATCTCATCTCTTCCAAAGCATTCTAAACATGATTTATGAGTCAATGAAGATTAATAAGCTAACGATCAACATTAATTAGTTGATTGAAGAATAAGTCATTAACTTAGTAGTAATTGATTAAGAAGCCAAGCAAAAAATTGGTTTATTCAGAAAAGAATGATTTAGTAATGAAAGAATATGTAAAATGAGAACTCGATTCATTTGACTAAAGAAAGAATAAGCGCATTAGACCTTCGGATTATTTAGACAAAAGACAAAAGAAGTCAAGTTTGATCAAGAAAGTAATATTGTGTTTCAATGTGTATATGTTATGTATTTGTGTAGGTCACGTACTATTGTCTGCTTGATATGCTTTTGCAGCTATCTGTGAGTAATAACTTAGTAAAGCTATATTCAATATGAAATACTTTTTGAACATTATGATATCATATGAACTGTTTCTAAATGATACAAAAGGCTATTTTGTGATTACATGAATGATGATTCAATTCTTTGAAATATCTTTGTGGTATCCAGTTAGCAGTGTATCCTTCCAATGAAAACAATACATGGAGATAAAAAAAAAGTCACAATACATAGAGTGCTCGTTTGGGAAAAGCGGGTTTGGGGCTTTTTGGCTAAAACAGCTTTAAAAAAATAAAATAGACTTTTTAGTTCAATGACAAAACATCACATTCAACATATACTCATTACATTTTTTTTCTCACAAAAGTCAAAAAAGTCAAAAAGTTCATCCCAAACGAGACTTTTTAGAGCATCTCCAATGGTAATAGGTATTTTACCTATCTAAACATTACTATAAAGTATACATTTTATTTTGCCTATCAACTGTTTCATGTTTTTGCTTCAACCATGCTCTTTATTTTAACTATTCATCAAAATACTATTAATTTTATAAAATGCCACATTAGCAATAAAGATGGAGCGAAATAATCCTAATGATTAAATACATTTTGCCTAGCCTTGAAGGCTAGCTACATGTAGCTAGTGAATGTGAGTTGAACTAAAATGCCTAATCACATGCCTAGTGCATTAGAGTTGAAAAAAGTGAGTCATACTAGGCATTTTACCTAACAAGCATTGTATGCCTAGTGCATTGGAGAAGCTCTTAGCCCTAGGCTAAAATAGCCAAAAAACTAAAAAGCTAACCCACTTTCTAAATGAACCCAGAGTAATTATAATAATTTAGCCAATAGCTATCACATTCTTTAAAACTTCATTGATTAGGCACACCACATATTAGAGGTGCTCGAGGTAGCATTGTGGCCAAGAAACCTCCAATCTGTCATCCGTTCGCTGGATTAGCGGATTGGAAAAAATTGATCTGCATCCGTCTGCCGAATTGGTGGATGCGGATTGGAGGATGGATACGAATTGGTTTGGTGGTTTAAATTTTTTAAATTTTGAACATAATACAACAACTTGTTAATATTTTTTTCCTTGGATAACAATCCATTCAAAAATTATTTAATTTGATTTTTTTTTAAAATTGACAAAATTAAGCCTTATATTTTTCACACAAAAATACTAAATATAAACACTTGCTATTTGACAAAAGATTTTCTAAATTGAAAACATAATAGAATATCTAATTTTTTTTTTCAATTAAAAACACAAACAGAAGATCTAAATAAATTAAAAACACAAAAAATTACAAATTACTAAGAGTGCTTGCTGTTTGACGGTTCGGTTGTGGCCAAAGGAACCTTAAATCTGCCATTCATCCAAAACTAGGAAGATGGAAAAAATCAATCTGCAACCGTCCACTCGTTATCACGCATCCGTCCAAAATACAACAGATCGATTCAGTTCGATCAATTTGAACAGATCAAAATATTCACTGAGCATCCCTGTCACATATGTGGTGTACCAGTAATTCTCCAATATTTGACACAAGCAATTTCTTTGGATCAATTGCTAACATTATTACTCACAAACAATTTCATTCGTCTTTGTGTGTGTGTGTTTTTTTTTAAATCTTTTATTTTTTAAATTTATCTATAGACGAAGAGAAAAAATAAATTTTTTAAACATAATTTAGAAAAAAAAAGGTTATTAATAAAAAGAATATAGAAAAAAATTATTACTTTAGCGTTGTTTGACAATTTAAAATTTTAATTAAAAGGTTAAAAAATCATTACAAATTATCGTATCATTTTTTCTATTTTTTTATACAATTATTTTTATAAAAAATAAATTTTTTTCTAAAATAATAGATTCCAAACCAAGCCTTATTTTTTGGAAGTTTACAAACCGCCTTTTTATTGTACAGCGCATCATAGTTTCCCTCTTTGAAACCTCGTTCTCAGCATTTTCTTCAATTTTACAGAGGGAAAGTGAGGAGTTACCGACTCCGCGAGAGAGAGAGAGAGAGAGAGAGAGAGAGAAGCGAGTTTGAAGAGTCGGCGAATTGTGGTAATTATGGAGTTGTTCGGAAAAAAAACAAGACCTATGAAGACTGACATTGAGAAATAGAATTGAAACCCTAGACCACGCAAATTGAGGTTTGATTAATTCATCTTTGTTCCTCTTTTTGGTCGTATATTTTTGAAAGTTGTGGTGAATTTCTGAATTGTTTACTTTTGATTTAAGCTTTGATTATACTACGGCCTTTGTTTAACATAGATGTTCGGTTTTTGTTTTTGCGCTTGAAGGTTTGATATCTTTCAAGCTGTAGGGGTTAATTCGCTTCACTGTTAATTTACAATCATTGTTTTTTCTATGACGAAATTCCAAGAAAATTGGTATTTTAAATGTTTGGAATGCATGTCATTTGAAATTGGTTTTTGATTTGGAAGAATTTGGAAGGAAGAACTAGTCAGTCATGTTGAGATCTCTTTTCAAATGTATTGGTTTCAATGGAATTGAAATTACTTAAACCTAATTTCTTTTACCATCAATACCAAAGGGGAATCATGTTCTACAATATATTTATTTTGGGTGCTTCTATTTACACAACACTAACACTCTCAGTGCACACTATTAATAGATTAAATTTATATTATAATAATATCCTCTAATGAAATAACCATTAAGGAGGTGTATTCTATCGATTCAAAAATTTCATATATTAAAAATACAAAATACTCTTCACACACCATCATTCCTATAGGGTTTAGAGTTTGAACATTTAAACATTGTATTTCTTCATCATTTTCACCATTAACCTGCACTCATGATATCATTCATTATCAATTAGCTCACTCCCTTCTCTTCTCCATTGTACGTATTTTTCAAACTCAAAACATTATTGCCTTTGAAGATCTAGGGTTTAAGAATATTGAAATCAATTAGTTTTGAAGATTTGCATACCATAGATGACACTGAGATGGTTGGTTCCGATATAAATATTGAAAACGTTGATTTGAACATTGAAAAGTTTAGTTTATGACTTAGGTCAAGTTTGGCATGATTAAAAAAAGACAAAAAGTCAAAAAGTCACTATCCTATTTAAGTCGCATCATCTTATTTAAGTCACATCACCTCTCTAACACATCACTTCAAACCCAACCCAAACCCAACCCATATTTCATAAAAAGTCAAAAAGTGCACTTATTTAGTCTTCCCAAACTAAGCCTTAATTTTTTGATTTTTTATTTATCTCGTTCGTATATTGGGAAGATGAGTTTGTTTGTCGTGTTCGGATAACCAGAGCTGAACTTTTACACAATGTTTGATTATTTATATTTGAACAAAACAATTTTGTTCAAATTATTAAGATTGACCAAATATTAAATGTTCATACATAAAAAAATTGAACATTTTAAGATAGTTTGGTTAAAATAAATTAAAATTTTATTCATTATTCAGATATAAATTTTTAAACACATTAAGTATGTTCAACTTTGTATTTATGAGCATAACTAATTTGATGAACTTAAAACGACGATGAGAGACGAGAGTTCAAGACCGACAATGAAGATGAACACCGGTGAAAATGGAGACCGAATTTAACACTCCGCCATCTATCTAAAACGACAAGACGACGAAATGAGACATGATGAGAGTTCAACACTAACTATGGAGATCAACAATGGCGAAGATGGAAGACGAATGAAACCTCCGCCAGCGATGGAGATCAAGACCAACGAAGATGGTCTCTGTTGATATCTGTTTTGAAGATTGTGGGATTTTTGTTGTGTGTAGTAGTGAATAGTGTTTTTAAAGGCTCAAGGCGCACTAAGGCGCTGAAGGTCTCTCGGGGCCTAGGCGTAAGGCGAGGCGCAGGCTTTATTGAAGTAAGGCGCATAATTTTAGTAAAAAAATAGAAAAATTAACATAGACTAATCATTCATAGTACTAAGACAATTTTTTTAAAAATAAAAAATAATTAAGATTCAAGACAAAATATAGGATAATTTTCAAAGCCATGAAAGTGCATATAACATTTCAATTTTCAAAGATAAAATAATCCACATTCAATAAAATAAAAATAAAAATAAGAAAAGACAATTTAATAAATAAAATAAAGACAGAATTTAAAAAATAAAATAATCCACATTTAATACATAATTTATTAAATACAGAATTTAATAAATACAGAATTTATTTTTTTCCCCTAACAGATAAATACAGAATATATTAAATACAGAATTTAATAAATACAGACAAATACAGAATTTATTAAATACTGATAACTACAGAATTTAATAAATACAGAATTTATTTTTTTCCCCTAACAGATAAAGGGGAAAAAAAGACCAGTAGCATTGTATTTATTTATTTATTATTTTGTATTTGTATTTGTATTTATATTTATTTATTTATTTATTTTGTATTTGTATTTATTTATTATTTTTTTTCCTAACATAATTGAAAAAAAATAAAAAATAAAAATAAAAAAATAAATAAAACAGAGTCGAATGGAAGCCATAAGAAGAAGAAGAAGAAGAAGAAGAAGAAGGGGAGAGAGAGAGAGTGAGATTAGAAGAAGACCTGAAGAGGTCAAAGCAAAAAAAAACAAAAACAAAAAAAAAACAAAAAACGAAGACGAATCGAGGAGACCAGAAGAGGTCGAACAGGAATCGAGGTCCACAGGCTAGGCGAAGCATACCTGTGCGAAGTTGAATCGAGGTCCATAGTCGAAGTCGCTACGAAGTCGAAGTCGAATCGAGGAATCGAGGAATCGAAGTCGAATCGAGGAATTGAGGCCCACAGTCGAAGTTGTTAGATCAGATCAAGCTGCTAATACATCAAGCGCGTCTAGTCGTGTGCCTTGCGCCTCTGTCGCCTGGCTCAAGTCGCGTCTAAGGCGCTCGCCTGGGACCTGTACAGGCGCAAAGGGTGTGCCTTGCCTCGCCAGGCGCACTTTTCACAACACTGGTAGTGAAGATGAAGAGTTTTGGGTGTGTGTAATGGCATGCATTCAAATAGTTACTGGTGTGTTAATATAAGGTTAGTAATGGAAAGTTAAAGTGTTAACTAAGATATTTTTGAACACTAAAAATTATTTTGTGTATTCTAAGGCCTTATTTGGCAAGTGGTGATTTTAGTCAAAAAAATTAAAAACTCACTAAAAAAACCAAAAGCCAACAACTTATATCAAAAAGTTAAAGATTCTCTTTTCTCTTTACTTTTTGCATATCTTTTCGTAAAAAATCAAAAAGTCATTTTAAACATATTAGTTTTTTTTTACGTCATATTTTAGCTAAAAAGTCAAAAAATTACTAAAAAAGTCTGTTCCCAAACGAGGCCTAAGTAATGTTGTGTACACTGAGGCCTTGTTTGTCATCCTCTAAAAAAGCCAAAAAGTCACCTATTTATGTCATATCATCTTATTTAAGTCATAGCACTTCTCTATCACATCACTTCAAACCCAACCCATATTTCATAAAAAGTCAAAAAGTGCACTTATTTAGAACATCTCAAATAATCCTTGAGAGTTGAGAGTTTAGTGGTATGTAAATAGAATCATCATTTTTTTTGTTTTCTTTTCAATTCTTCATCAAACCCATATAGAAAGAAAAGGTTTCCCCTCGATTTTTCCCCTTTCTTTACCTTTTTCAAATCCAATTTCTGAATGGATTTGATTCCAAACAGTGTTAATTAACATATAGTTGGATTTGTCTTTCAAGTAACTTAGAAGAATACTAAATTGGTGAAGTCGGAGAAATTTAATATGAAATTTGATTGGGGATTTGGGGCTCAGAGAGGATTTATTTGATTGCATTTTAGTATGGATGTCATGCCCGATGAATGCTCTTATGACATCTTGCCCAAATGGGGACAACTAAATGCTGTGAAGATTACCTGCGAAAATAAGGTTGACTTGTGAATTGAGTAGACATATCCTAAGTTGCCTTATTTAATTCATAGCAGGTAGGCCTTGGAATGAGCTAGGGTAGGCTACTCGAGTGCTTAAACTTTTTCATCTTTGGATAGACCTTTATGTGCGTGAATCTTATTAATTTTCAATTAAATGCAGGGATGTTAGCTCTATGTCTATGTGACTTAAAGTTTGTCTAGATTTTAGAAGTGACTGGAGTGGAATGGCAAAACAAGACTTTGTTGAGTTGGCAAGTAGTTGATATGAATATGCTAGCCTAGAAGTGAAAGTATATCTCTTCTCTTACTGGAGTAGAATGGCAAAACAAGACTTTGTTGAGTTGGCAAGTTGTTGACATGAATATGCTTAGTCCTAAAGGAGGGCTAGAATGAAGAAAACAATCTGTATAGCTGGTTCTTGGTAATTGGGGCATAGCATTAGTTGATGAAAATATGGTATCAAGTATTTGTTTGTGATTTTTTTTCTCCTCTTTTTATTTTTTTTAGAACGCAGAGAGCAGTCTATTAGAGCAGAAGAAGGAAAAAGTATATTTTAATAGTAGTGAAAAAATTCTCAAAATGACCCTCACAGAATGGATTAAGGAGGTTTTTTCCTTAATAATTGTATAGTTGAGGCAACACTTGAGAGTATGAGATATGATTATTGTTACTTTTATTCTTTTGCTGTTATTGTTTTAGTTATCATTGTCAAGCAAGAAAATAAGTTATTTTGCTAATATATTCAGAAATTTCTTTACTCGAAGGACAACACTTTCAAAAAATTATTTGTTTTGTTTAGTCTGACTGTTAGTGATAAATTGCATCATCTCTGAGCGTGGGATCAGTGCTGATCATACTAAGCTTGGGCTCAACAAAGGTGGAAAAAATAGAATATCTCCAAATCGCCACTCAACACCCCCCCCCCAAAATAAAAATATTAATAAAAAATCCAAAAAATGGGAAGGATGTTTGAAAGGTGTTGTTAGTCAAGCTTTAGATACTCCACCATACTGCTGATATGCCTCGGAAAGATTTTTTTTTTTTTTGTAATGCAGAAACTGTAATTGAGGTTTTCATTTCATTCTTTTGCAGTGGTTTACAGAAGTAGTGATTGCATATTCATGCAAGTCTCCTTTATGCTTGCTTGGTGTAATTCTTGTTTGCTTAAATTCGTTGTGCCAATTTTCTGAATTTATATAACTATTACATTGAATTTGTTGTTGATGTTGGATGCATAAATTTTTAGACAATGCATTGTTTTTGAGATGCATAAATGTCGATGTTCTCAGCATGAAAAATTATTGTAGAGCAGAAGTTGCCTTGGTCTACTGAGCTTGTAATGTAATATCAGTTTTATCACTCCAAATTTGACCTTTCCCAAACGGGCAACTGGCAGTGTTTTCTTCTGAAAAGTGTGGTTCAGCATGCGTTAACCATTTGTTTCGAAATAGAAATATGGGAAAGCTTGCCATGAGCCTTCTCTTGACTCTATATCTATATGATACTCGTATTGATAAAAATTGGATTATCATGTGCAGCACAAGTGGCCTTCTGTGTTATGTCAGAAGTTTCAAGGGATTTGGGTGCTTCAGCTGAACCCAATAAAATAGGGCCAGATTACTTTGCTTTTTATGCACGTGAAGTTGCAGAGCTGTTATCGCAAGATGAGGATTTTCTTGCTTTCTCATCAGAAACTTCTGAAGTAGCTGGAATGATGAATGGAGATGTTGGAGAAAAGGATGCAACTGGAAGTAATCACAGTGGCAAAGATAACACTTTTTCGGGTTCCTTATTTTGTAATGGTGTTGGAGCCAGGCTTTCAGATTTTAAGAAAGAAAGATTGAAGGCCTTGCTTCGGCAGAGTGTCGTCACTCTTTCACAGGAAGTTGACGAGGTTAGTTTGATCCTCTCTCTCTCTCAACATAAGCACATGGTGGAATAGACTTAACCATATGCTAGGTACTGGGTTTTGAGTTATTGTAATGGGGCTTTTTTTTTTTTTTTTTTTTTTTTTAAGCCTTTCCAGATGAATTTATTTGGGAAAACCTGAATTATTTGTAAATTCTTGAATTATTTGTCTAAAATGGGTTAGGTTTTGTACGTGTGGCCTTTTTCTTAGTGATCACTTCTGAAGTTAGCTATTAAATAGACCATGTTTGTTAAGTTTTGTATTGATTCAGCTTTTAAGGTCTTTTTGAAGTGAAAATATGTAATAATTTTGTAATTACAAGAGGACTACCATGTTTTATGCTTCGTATATTATACATTTGAATCTATAATCTGCAAAGTATTTCCTTGAGAATGCTTGGCACATCTGGTTGGGAGTGCAAATTTATTTATTATTTGAGTTTTTTTCTTTCACCAAGATCTTTATCTTTACTGAAACATGGAGCTTAAGATATATTGTAGTTTTTGCAAAATCAGCAAAATCATCTGTATTCTTCTTCACTTCTGTTGTGTACATGTAAATAGTGCTATCCATTTATGGTAACAGTTACCCCCAGTTGCATGTATGGTGGACTTCGGAGAATTGTGATTAGTGTTGACATATTGAATGCAGATGCTAGATCCTGTAATCGCTATTCGTCACATACAATCACAACTGAGATACAAAAAGAGCCTATCAAATTATTCAGCTACAGCATGTGATGAGGGTGATGTAGAACAGCATCCTCACAAGAAGATTAAGCTGTCCTCTTCGATCAGCATTCCTCTGCATGCTAGTCCCATTGGTGCTAAGGTTTGTTTCTTCATCCATTGTTTTATATTAGTACTTGGTTGTCAATTCTTTCATCCTACCTATTTGTTGGTGCGTTTGCCACCAGTGTTTGTTTCTTCATCCATTGTTTTATATTAGTACTTGGTTGTCAATTCTTTCATCTTACCTATTTGTTGGTGGGTTTGCCACCAGTGTGACAAGATGGGAGTAGCGATCCATTGGCTAATTATACTGAGACATCAGTTAACAATGAGAGATTTAGGGCCAAAGATTGGGGAATTGTTTCTTGAAATAGCGAGTGCTCAATATTTGGGCATTCAACTTGTTAAATACATTTAGAAAGCTTAGGAGGATGTGATATGGTAGGCCTAATGGAGCTAGAGAATATAAGTTTTATCATAGAATGAGAAATATTTAATAAGATTATAATGACTACGAAAATGTCAGAGAAGTAGAGAAAGAATATTGGTAGCGTTTGGTTGTGTTTTGAAATTGTGATTCTAATAAAAAAATTTCAAAACTCATAACAAAGCACACAACTCAAAAATCAATTCAAAAATTATTTTTGAAACTCATAACCATACACATAAGTCAAAACTCAATTCAAAACTCTTTTCAAAATTCAAAACCAAGTTCTTTTCAAACCTCTATTTAAAAAAAACAAATTAAAAATATTTTTTTATTTTGTTTTTTAAATTATTTTTAGAATCATGATTTGAGTGTGTAGTCGAGTTTTGAGTTTTGAAAATAAAAAATTTGTTTAGTTATGAGTTTTTAAAAGCGTTTTGAGTTGTATTTTGAAATTTTTTAGACTTATTTTTTTTAATATTTAAAATTTTTCTTAATTTTATTTTTTTTAGGGTAAATATTTTATATTTTAAAATTTTATTTATTTATTTTAATGTGCACTATATTTCATACATTTGTGTGCAGTATTTTATTTTAAATATTTTTTTAATATTAAAAAATTTAAAAAAAAATTATTTTTTTATTTTAAATATATAATTTTTATTTTAAATATTTTTTTATTTTATAAATATATTTTTAAATATTTTAATATTTTTTGTTATGTGTTTGGTTACGATTTGAGTGTGGAGTTTTGAAAGTAGTGTGGAGTTTTGAGTTATGTGTTTGGGTATGAGTTTTGAAAATAGTTTTTGAATTGAGTTTTGAGTTATGTGTTTAGTTACGATTTGAGTGTGGAGTTGTGTTTTGAATTTAAAATATTAAAAGAATTAAAATATTTAAAATAAAAAAATCTAAAAATTTTAGATAAAAATTATATATTTAAAATAACAAAAAAAATTCTTAAACATTTTTTAATATTTTAAAAAAATAAATCCAAAAAATTTCAAAATACAACTCAAAACTCAAAATACAACTCAATTTTTTTTTTCAAAACACAAAAACTCTTTTCAAAATTCATAACCAAACAAATTTTTCTTTTCAAAACTCAACTCACAATTCCATGCTTAAATCACAACTCCACCCTCAAATCATAATTACAAACTAAACCGAACAGAGCCCTTGTATTTATAAAATTACAAAAAATATCTTCTGGGATTGCACAAACTGTCAACCTTGAGTCTTTAAATCTTTGTCCTAGTCATGGATGAATTAACTAGGATGATTTAATAAAAAATTATATAAATTTATTTAATTTAATGGAGCATATATCGCTTTACAAAGCGGAATGGCAAAAGGGATTTTCAAGTTACCAAACCAATTGATTGGGGCACAAGACTTTTGGTTTGGTTTATGTTATGGTTTGACTCCTGTAAATAGTTTTCGGAATTGTTTTAAAAAGTCTTTGTTGAAATTAGTCTAATGTTCTCTTTTAAATGAGTGTCAGTACATGATTTTCATGGACAGCTCTGGCATTTTCATATTGGTTATCTCCATTTAAAGAACATTTTGCTTCTGTTTCTTAATTCTTATTGATTTTAGGTTGGCTGACTTGGCTTCCTTGCTTTGAATTTTTTGTAATTTTCTCTTGGCATGAAGTCTTTGTGTGTGTGTGTGCGCGCGCACATGTTTTTGCAGGATTCAGGTAATAAAGGCAAGGATGCAGATTTGCCAGAAAATGGAAGATCCAATGGTGTCAAGAAGAATTGTGCTCATTGCCATACTGCTAAAACCTCAAAGTGGAGAACTGGTTCCGAGGGGCCTCTGGTGATTACTTATTTTATTCTCTTGCTTTTCTTTCACTTGTCAGTGTTACTGTTTATTTATTTTTGTTAGTGCTTTTTTTTTTTCATTTTTTTTTCAGTCCATATGCAATGGTTGTGGAATCAAATTTGAAGAAGAAAAGGAGCCTCCCTCAATAAATGACCACAACAAGGAGTCATGTCTGGTTTCAAACATAGGGGCTGATGATGAATATAGAGAAGTAAGAACAATTAACTTCATGTTAATTGGTTGCTAGTCTTTTGAATCTTACATATCATGCTTGATCTGTAGTAAGGGAGAGAGTTGGTGAGGAAGTTTAATGTTTTGGAGGACTTACATATGTATAGGTTCTAATAGGTGGAGTTATTGATCAATAGGTCCTATGATAATTAATGGTGTTTTTCATCAAGTACTATTAAAAAATGTCTCTAACTGTTCATTTTCAGCGACATTTTAAAAATTGTTACAAAAAATGTCACTAATTGTAAGTCTTAGCAATAATATAAAATAATCGTCACAAAAAAAAGGTCATTATTTTTCAACTTTCAGCGACAGTTTGAAAAACTTGTCGCAGAAAAACGTCACTAATTGTAAGTTTTAGCAACAACTTATAAAAATAGTGACAAAAAAAAGTCATTAATTGTCGATTTTTAGCGACATGCAAAAAATTGTCACAAAATTATTTTAGCGACGATTTTACTAGAACCTATTTTCAATAGGACTTGATGGGAATTAAGTCTAACTATTAGAACCTATTGGTAGTTTACCCAAATATTTTTCCTCTCTCTCTGTCTCATATATTTTTCCTCTCTCTCTCTCTCTCTCTCTCTCTCTCTCTCATATGAAGTTGAGCTTGGTTAACAGCTGCCCACAACACTATTTGCTTTCCTGTTGCAAATGTGGCATTAAACTTTATACCATTTTGCCTGTATGTGCATTATGAAAAGCTTGCATGGTCATAAACTACATGTTGATGAGTTTGGCCTTTTCTATCCTCAAAACTTTTGTCAGGTTGATGATGATATGCAATTCCTCCTGGAGAATGATGCCCCAAAGGTTGAGGCGGTGGTAAAGAAACATTCTGATGAAGTATTCACAATGGTAATCTTCCGAAGTATCTTTAATAAATCGTTCACTATGAATGTCGTCTAGCCGGATATCTCTTACTGTTAAATTTGTAGTTTATTATGATATCGACTGAATTGAGGTTAAATATTCTTTTTCCAGCTTGGGCACATGGAGCAGCAGCTTGAAGAGCTTCTTGATACAGTGCTGTCTAATTGCAGGTTATTGTTTTTCTTTCATAAGCCTTATACAAACAAATTGTAGTTGGTCTTGACATTCTTAATTTTGTTTCAACTACAATGGCATTTGATTTTATTCCTGTACAGATGCCTATCCATACAAAATGTTTGGCCATAGTCAAGTTTGGTATTTCGCAATTTTTGCTTTTGCGCTTCTGATGATGTCCTGGTACTTGAAATTTTGAATATCTGTTTTTCCAAACGAAGATCCTTCAGTTGTTTATTTATTTTGATAAGTCTATAGTCTTATAGTGGTATCTCCTTGCTTAAAAGATCATTATATGCTTTCTAGTACAACATTTATTCATGAGCATAGACTATGCATTCAAGAAAGGGGTCATTGTAAATGCTTGGGTTATCAAACATGAGAAGGCCGGTATTGAGTCTGAAATAGCCCCGTTGTGCAAATAATGTTGAAGGTTAGGTCTGTATGTGGTCCTCCCTTCCCAACTCTCCCTATTTGCAAGAACAATACAAGTAATGATTTAGTGGTTGGTTCGTCTCTTATTTCAGCTAAATGCTGACGAAAGGGGTTCAAATATAGGCGTTAACGCAGTTTTTGTAACTTTGTGATGTACTTCTATGATTGGAGATAGTTACTGTTTCTGTAATGAATGAAGGTGGTTGGATATTTTATATATATGTATGTGTAACGAGTTTTTGATTGCCAGTGGCATGACTAGTTGTGCTTGAGTGTATGATATGGTTACATTCTGGCGCCTTAAAATTTATCCTGCCTTGAGGCTCTGATTCTAAATGTCTTACTTTTAATATGCAGGTTGATGACTCTTTCTGAGAAGCAACAGCTTCGAAAACTGATTCAGAAGCTGCCGCCTAGAAATCTTGACCGTGTTGTGGAAATCATCCAATGTAATAAACCATTTGGCAAATATTCAGCTGATGAGATCCATGTTGATCTGGAAAAACAGGCAAGTAGAAAGCACATTGTTTGTGGTGAATGAGTACAAGTTTTCTGTCTTCAACTAAACTATTCTGGTTTATTTCTGATGGATCTATTGTAGGATAATGTTACACTTTGGCGATTGTATTACTATGTTAAAGCCGTTGATAATGCTAGAGAGCTCTCAGGGTAGCTGAACCTCAGCAAAGCCTCGTAGCCAAACTTGCCAAACCAAATTCTGCATGTCAGTTTACTCCATTAGGGTCATGAATTTTGTCAAAATGTGGATCAAGTTTTCTCTCTACCTCAAAAGCCAGATGAAGAGGCCCAAACATCACTGCTTGCTTGTTGATTCTTCTGAAGGGGTAATGCCTAAAATTTTGAATGCAAAGTTCTATTAAGAAAGCAAATTTACTGCAGACCATACCAGTAAAAATGGCATTTTTTCACCAAGGCAGAAAGAGCATTCTTTTGAAGTACTTTACAATCCCTGAAAGGTGGAATGTGACCCAGCTTTCTTTTGTATGATTGTGGGGTCTTACTAGGTTCTGCGCGATAAGGTATTATTGCATTTTGAAATCTTATTTTTTGTACATCTAGTATATAGATGTTCTGACTGTACAGTTTGTAAGGTTTTTGTGGGGGCATCAACTGGTGGAGAGCTACTTCTGTTAGTGCAACATGATAACCAACAAGGCTGTACGACAAGAATTTGATCCATGTAAGCACGAGGAATATTTCATTATTTCCTGAATGTTAGTGCAAGCAAGGATCATTTGTTACTTTATATGAACATTTGAAGTTTATTGTTTGATTTGTTTTTCCATGAATCTTTAACCGGCTGATTGATGCTCAAACCAGCCATGAGGCATAGATTTGAAAGTTTTAAAACCCATAAACTGGGGAAAATGAGAAACTGAGTCTTGCACAGGTGAAATTGTTGGAATCAAATCTCATGTGCAATTGTACAATCGTTAAAAATCCAGAATTTGATCTCATGCAATCATATTGTTCTAGATGAAGATAGGTTTCTACCGTACTTTGGTTCTTCTATATCGATTGAGTTTTTGAATTCTTGTCGATTCCTGATCCATGCTGTTGCTGCCATGTAGGAAGTGTCTTGTAAATGAAAAACAAATTATGGTTGGCCCTAATGCAACAAAAAGAATGGATGTCATTTTAGCTTTCATCATTTGAAACGACATTAAATTATCATAACTAAATAAAATTATCTTGAGCTACTACTGCTCATTTGGTTGCAGTGTCGCAAAAGATCAGTTTATAGACCAACCAAAGCAAGAGAAGGATTAAACATTAAAATCATTTAAGAGATAATGAAGCCAGAAAATTTCATAATCTGATGTCCTTGAATTGGCCATCACATGAACAAAATTTGGAACTACAGATTGCGGATGAAAACAGACCTTGTAAGTTAAAACCTGAAAGAAATTCATGCAGCTTTGAAGTAAGAAAAAAAGATTGGCACCTACTAAAATCTCACATTAATAGGAACTAATCCATTAAACTAATTAAAACGTAACAAAATATTACATCACTGTCAAGTAAAAAAGTGAAAAAAAGGAAAACTAAAAAAATAAAAATAAATAAAATTAAGAGAAATTTCTTGGGGAACTCTCAGCTCTTAATAACAAGCTGTCCTTGCTGCTAGAAAAAATCATCACAAAAGAAACAAAGAATGAAACAAGGAGAGAGATGGAAAGAACAATGAAGATAACACCGAACTTTTCTCTACCATAACAATTCTACTAGACTTGAAAGCACATTTTAACCATCCAACAAGACTCATCTCAAATCAAAACGAGCCACGCCTACGTCGGTCCTCAGCAACATTGACCCTGATTGCCCTCCCATCCAAACTCTGCACCACCAGTTACACTTAAATCAGGAAACAATAAAAAGACATGCTCATAGGAAACAAAAGATAGTAGCAAGCCTCGTGAAAGATTACAGACCATAAGTATTTTAACAGAAATGAGCTTATTTAGGATGATAATGGAAAAATCTAGGAGCATATATATAACCTGTCCATCAAGAGCAGCGATCGCATCATTGACTTCTGTCTCACTAGACATTGTTACAAAGCCAAATCCACGTGAACGGCCAGTGTCCCGGTCATAAACAACCCTGGCATCCACCACCTTGCCGTGTTCACTGAAGACCTGCTCGAGGCGAGCATTGTCCACTTGCCATGGCAGGTTACCAATGTAAATTCTGAAAGAAGGTTCAATCGCTCCAGAAGGTCTTTCTGGGCGTGACCCTCTTGGAGCAGCCTTATTTACAGTCAAAAACCTTCCATTTATTTCCTGTTTAAAGCAATTGAAAGTATTAAATTCAACAAGCAAAAGCATTTCAAGAATCAATGAGATATCCAGGGAACTCAGATGTGGTAAAGTACAATGAGAGCAAGCTTGCGTGCACACGGACACACACAAAACCTTTCACCTTATTCTCATTGATGTCATTAGCATAATGCACTAAAGATGCCAATTTTATAAGGTCCAACCATGGTGCCCTTGAAGGACCAAGGGATCTAGACATCAAAGTAGTAGGCCCTAAACTAAATTCTACCCTATCTATTAATACTTATGTCACCAAATTATTATTGGTGTCAGGAGCAAACCTAGGAGAAAATAAATTGTTCCATGAAAGTGAAGCACACACTACACATTCCCATCCACAATGCTGCCTGTTTTAAGCTCGAGGCCTTCCCACAAGTAGTAAGAGGAGCTATGTTATATCCTATGGCTCCATAAGAAGATTTATTTTAATCTTCTCTTCTGACATTGCAGCTACATTCCACAAGTTCTGTTAGCATCTCCAATAGTTAAATAAGAGCTAGTTAGTGCTATTATAATATAATGGGTAAATTACAAACACACCCCTTGAGGTTTACTTAAATTACAAATTATCTCCTGTGATTTTAGAAATTACATTATACCCCTAAAGTTTCTAATTTCATAACAAATAGTCTTTTTATTAATAAATCATAAAGTTAATTAACAGTTTTTAATAATGTTAAAATTTTATTTCAATTAATAAATCAGATAATTTTATTATTGTATATGTGAACAGTTGGAAATTTTACTTTTTCAATTAATTCTATTAAATAAAAAATTCTGATAGGGAGACATTTGTAATTTTTCAAACCACAAAAGGCAATTCGTATTTTAAGCAAACCTCAAGGGGTGTATTTATAATTTATCCTAATATAATTTAGTAATGAGTAGTGTCAAACTGCTTTACTCTAGCAATGTTGCTCCAATGGTGCAATGCAAAATTTCTTCAATTTTTCTCACAAAATGACAAATCAAAATGCTATATTTGGGTCCTAAAAGAGGAAAGATGTAGACAAAGATATTACCAATAGGTAAACCAGGTGCTATGTTAAGTGCTAAGTTTAGCCATAGGTTATATATAGCAAGCCATATAATTTACCACTGGAGTAGAATTTTTGGAACTACAAGGCAAAATATAGCAATAGCAAGCCATATATAGCTCACCATTGGACCCCCATGGCAACTAGCTTTGCCATTCTTTAGAGAACTGTCCCCTACCGGCAGCAAACAGTAGGTGGGATATACAGTGACTTCAACCAAGAGATTGAAAGTATTTTTTCTTTGTTATCCCTATTCTTTTTTAGTCCAAGAAGAGATTTTTTTTTTTTTTGTTGATAAATTAATCCAAGAAGAAGAGATTATTGAAGCACAGTTGGACCATTGAAAACATTGTATTTCGATCAAGCTACCGACCCATTTTCTGCAACCATATATTTGCCTGCAAATTTATGGGCTATGGATACAAAGGCTTGTTAGGAGACACACCCTTAAACCTACAATTAGTTAGCCAGAACATGGCGAAAGAAAATGTACTCGCAAACTGAGCTATCAGGAGATCTAAATAAATTAAGCACCAAAAAGGTAAAGGAATTTAAAAATCAGAATGAAATGATGACAAAAAAGATGCATAATAGGAAGGCCAACCAAGGCTTTCACAAAGAAGTTGTTGACGTGAAATTAGAGGGGCTAAAGATGAGAGAGAGGAGTGTGGGACTGCTCACATGGTCTTAGTCACGTCATTGGGGGTGCTAAATTAGGGGATGTAGTGGGATTGTCAATTTAAAGTGTTGTTTAATGTGTTGTCAAAACACCGCATTGCAATTAAGAGAACTGGATACCTAGCACATAGCTATCCACTACAGCAAACTAAAAATTCAATCTTTCACAAAAGAATCAAGCTTGAAATATAATTTACCGATAACAATGACAAAGGAACAAATAATTCTATCTTTAGCATGACTCCAAATTGAAGTGCCAAACAGAGAAACCCAAAAAAGATGAATAGAAAAGGATCAAACTGACATAACGGTGGAACATCTCAACAGCCTTCTCAGCTTCTTCGACAGTACTCATAGTTACGAATCCAAAACCTCGACTCTGATCCGTTTCCCTATTGTAAATTACCTACAATCAAAACCACCTAATGATCATCATAATCACATCCCTCAAAATTCCCAATTTCCAATAATCACACACGCAGAGAAACACAGAGATTATTATACCTCAGCAATCTCAACAATACCAGCCTGATCAAAAAGCTGAGCCAATTTCTCACTATCAATGTCATAAGGCAAATTCCCAACAAAAATCTTAGCCTCTTCAGATGGCTCAGGATAGGACTCTTCTTCACTCTCCTCCAAAACCCCACCATCTCTGATTCCCTCTCCTCTATCTTCTCCACCCTCACCTTCCCAAGAAGTAGCAGTGGCCTCCGTTTCCGCCAAAGTCTCGTCTCCCCACTTGAACCCATCAATTGGGTTCTGTTCTTCGCCCTCTTGTTGGGCCCAATCTGAGGTCTGCGCAACGAACGAGACCACACCCGATGATGATGATGATGACGTAATCTTGGGTCTGAGAGAGACCCATGAAGATGAATGGAATGAAGCAGAAAGAGATGATAATGAGCATGAGAGATGGGTGAGTTTGATTGTTTTTGAGGGGATTGAGAGTAATGGGTGTTGGGTTTTGGAAGTGAATAGTGCCGGAACAGAGGTTATTATACAACACTCGGCCATTGACAATGGTTTGATAGCACCACAAGTCATTTCTACAGAGGGTTAGAGAGAGAGAGAGAGAGAGAGAGAGAAGATAAGGGGGAGGGAGCGTCACAGTTTGGTCCGCAGGGATAAGATATTCTAGGTTTGGAGAGAGATGATCCTCCTACCCCCAATTTTTTGTTTTTTTCAAAAAGACCCTTAATTTATGAGTAATACTTTGAAGGCCCATGAAATATTAATTCTTCTCATTACAGGCCCTCAATTTTCTCTTCATTGACTCTCCCTCACACTTCAGTTATGAGAATAGTCTGCTGTGAAAACATGTACAGGGGTTTGAAATGAGTTTTGCATTCCCATAACTTAGGATTTAGGGGTGCTTCTTATCATATCATTGAGTCATTCTTAAAGCCTGCGCGATCTATCGTTAAAACTAGTTAACTATTAGTCATTTTGACGATTAATTTATTAATTTTTTTGAAATATCATATTAATCATGTACTCCTTAAATAAAAGGGGACAGTATGCTTATATAGCTAGAACTATGGAAATAACAATGAACAAATGACAAAATACATTGATTGGCACACGAAAACTTTGTGTTCCTCAATCCATGGACTCGTTTTTACATTCAATCATGAAGATTGCATTCCTGGTCATGACTGCTTTTTGTTAAGCTTATAATTGTTTGCTTTTGAACTATTAGCAGAGGTTGGATGATAGTTAATGCCAAAATCTCTCCCACAATGAAGAAGCATTCAAGTATTTAAGAGTACTATTATACATTAAACGAAATTTTACACGACTTTTTTTTTAACACTAAACACAAAAGATATTTGAGCACACACATTAATAAATACACGACTTTGTATTCAGCGATAAGCAATCTGATATGTGTTCTCAGAAATAAAAGGGATTCATTCGTGTATGGGTTTGAAGTTCTTGTAAGCGATCACTGCATAGAAAGAGTCTGACCCAGAAGACAATCCCAACAATCTCATGATCCAACCGAAAGGCGATCTGTCCTCTTGAGCACCACCAGTGGCTGGCAATTTCCGAACAATTTCTGGCTTTGTAAATCCTTCAATGCACTGGAAGTACTGCATGACCAGTTGTACCCGACTGTACGCAGTCCCCTCTCTCCATGCACCGATGGCTTTTTCATAGAACATTCGATTACTGAAGCTAACTATGAACACTCCACCTGGCCTCAGCACCCGAAACACCTCTGCAAACACCTGCAAAATATTTAACTTTAGTCTACATTACATCTAATAGTTAGTCTTGAAATTCAGTTCCAAAACTTGCACTCAACTCAGCTAGGCCTTACTCCTGCAGTGAATTGTTCGTATTCAAATTAATTGTAAAGTAGATTTTATATTGAACCAAATATTTACATGGAAATCGTAAATAAAAATATTTTACTTTACAATGAACCTGACACTCTGAATTTAAAAGATCCAAACTACCCAAATCTTTCCCAAGTTTCAGTTCTATTGTAGGCATTTGTTTAATCTTACAAAGTTGTCTCTCTTACATTTGTCATTTTGACAGAGAAGAAAATTGTCGAGGGTAGCAATTTCAGAGAATGATGAACTTCAATTTCCCCTTGAATTACTAAAGCCACATCACATATCAATTTTGGTGAATTAACAGTTGTACTTTACACATACACATAAATTAGTTACATAGCATTCTATGTCCAGTTCTATGATCAGATTCTGTGTTCCTATCATTAATCGTGATTCGTGAATTACCTTTTCTGGCTGCTGAAGATACTGCACGCTAACAGTGCATAACACAGCATCCAAACAGCCACTCTCCAATTCAAGTTTCTGATCACAATTAAGATCCTTGACGAAAAAATAATCAAGCCTTGGGTTCTTGGCAAGCTCTTGTGCATTGAGCCCATGTCCCACCACTCTTTTGTACTCAACTTCTTTGGGTAGATGGCTAACCCATGAGCTAGCAAGGTCAAGAATCTCCGAGCCAGGGCTCAACCTTTCTCTGTAAAGTTCAGTCAATGTGGCAATAAAGTTGTCATCGACATGGTTGACAAAGCGAGGGAAGGCATAGAAATCTTGGTCAGGGTAGGTGTTGAGTTTGGTTCTGCCCTCTGGGCTGAGAACTAGGCGTTTGATTTTGCCTGCTGAGGAGGGTTGTGTTGTTTGGTTGTTTTCATGGAGGGTGTTTGATATGATGGTTCTTGAATGGAGAGTTCTGGATTTGGGTAGGAGAGAGAAGAGGGGATTTCTGGGTTGGTTTGGTGTTGATGGGTGACACTGCCATGGCTTGAGGTAATTTGGATGAAGGGTGAGCATGGAGTCTTTTGATAATTGATGAAGTTTTTCAATATGTGAAGGTGAGAGATAAGTGGCCTACAACCATCTGGATTGTTAACGCAAATCCCTTTTTGGAATAGGGTGCAAATCGCTGAAATGAGGTCAGAGTAGGAGTGCTTGGGTTCGGTCAGATTGTAGTTTGGGCTGAGAAATTCTTATTTCAACAATGCTAGAGGGTCACAATTTTTGTGGTCACAATGGCTCAAAACTGTCAAAACGACGTCGTTTTGGGTGTAAAACATGCCAAAACGACGTCGTTTTGACAGTTTTGAGCCATTGTGGCCACAAAAATTGTGGCCCTCAAACATTTTCCTTCTTTTCTTATTTGCATCCGACTACTTTTGGTTTCGAAATTCATGAACGGATTAGATGAATTGACGGGTGAATTGAATTGGCTGATTTAATCAATTTTAATTTTACAAAAATAATTCTTATATTTTTACTAAAAGGTGAAAAATATCCCTTTCAGATTTTAATATTTAATTTATTGAACAAATAAATAATATATACATGTATCAATATTTTAAAAAAATTAAAATTCTACACGGTCAGGTCGAATTTGACAAATTGAAACTTATAAATGTGCCACCTGATTGAAACACAATTTTTTTTAAAAATTATTAGACCTGCATCCATTCGCCACCCATCACATCGAAACTGCTTATTTGACGTCAGGATAGATTAGGTTAGATGTATTAAACGGTCAGATAGATGTTTGTTAAGTCATAATTTATTTAAGAAGTGACATTTTATAAGTGGTCTACGTCAAAAATAGTGTGTATTATTTATTTATTTATTTATTATTATTAATTTTTTTTTTAGAGAGTATGAAAAATATTTATATTAAAATCAACAATATATAGAACAAGACCCCAAAGGGCCATACAAACTATACAATTAAATAAAAAAAATAACAAATCCGTCAAAAAAGACCAACTACGATGTAATCTGAAAAGCAAGATCTACATCAAATCAAGTAAGATTTGCTTGAAAACCTGATGTCTCCATCAACGTCGTCCTTATCGCTATTGCCCAACTTTGCCACCACCATCGCCATACTTCGAACACTGTCAGAAGGTAGAATTGAGAAGAAGGTACACCCACAATGGTATGAGAGAAGGTTTAAGAGATGAGGGAACCATTGTAGGGTTAGAAAATTCAAAAATTTATGTCAAAATAGAATAAAAAAAACTTTCAAACTCCTATTTTATATATAAAAAATCTAAATCTACACTCTAAAACTACAAATCTATATTTTAAGGATGTAAATCTATATTTTAAAAATATAAAAAGAATCATCAAAATATCGCCACACAACCACCAAAACATCGCTGGAAATCTCCCTACAGAAAAGCTCTACTCTCTCCCTCTCTGAAACTTCTATTTATTATTATTTTATTTTTTTTGGTTGCGCTTTGAGATCTATAGTTTCTTCCCCTTTTATTTAGGGAAATTTGGTCATAAACCCCTCTTAGCTTCATTTTCTTGTTAAAAGGATAGAAAAAAAATTAGTATTTTCAAAACTCCCTTATAATTATAATTTCTATATAAAGGACAAAATTTGTTATTTGACCATTATTTCATCTCTTCATCGTCTATCAGTGTCACTTATTTTTACCGTCGGCCAGCAACTACCATTTTTACCGTTAAACCACCACCATCTCAGATTTGATACCTACGAACTCATATTTGAGATCAATAACTTCAGATCAGAGATTAAAAAACCTTAGATTTGGTAGAAAAATGAGAAATTGAGATATTGCAATGAAAAATTAAGAGTTTTTCGTTTGTTTGTTCATAGATCTAAAAGTAAAATTTGACTCTGGTTCATTTATTTAATATGTACTCTGTTTTCGTAACAATAAAATTCTACTCTGGTTAACAACATACTAATCTACTTGATAACAGTAAAATTTTACTTTGGTTAACAACATACTAATCTGCTTGATAACAGTAAAATTTTATTCTGAATCATAGTAAAATTTTACTCTGACTCTGAAACAAGCTACGATGATGGCTTTACAGAAGAGTTTTGTGTCATAAACCAGAGTAAAATTTTACTGTTGAAAGAACAGAGCATCATGAGAAGAAGAAAGAGAGATAGAGTTCGAAAACAGAGGATCAAGAGAACAAGAAGAAGAAGAAGAGAGAGAGAGCACGAACCATCAAAACCACAGAGAGAGAGAAAGTAAAGGATCTTAGATTTGAGGTTTGCGAACCGTTGCAAATCGTTATTTTCCAATGACGACAATTGTGAATGATCTCAGATCTGAAGTTGTGGATGCAACAAATGATAGTGGTGATGAAAACGGTGGAGAAAGAGTTCTATAGTGAGCGACGGTGGTGCTGATGGAGAGCAGCGATGGCATCGATGAAGAGAATAGTGATAAATGCGAGACAGAGAGAAGAGAAATTGAGATGAGAAAGAGTGATTATAAGTTAATACACACACACACACACACACACACACACACATATATATATATATATATGAGGGTATTATAGTAAAAGAAATAAGTTTTAAAATACTAAAGGGTTTTGAAAAGATTTATATAATTATTGTCCTTTTGAAAGACAAGTTAGACACTGAAGGGTCTATCACCAAATCCCCATTTTATTTATTTATTTATTTATATTTGTTATATATTGTGATATCTCAGTTTTTTTATCAGGATTGCAGTAGTGTACCAAAATCACAAATCCTTTTCTGGCTCTCAGGCCCAATTAAAGCACGGACCGATCCATTGCTTAGGCCCACTATGATTGAAATGCTTACATTACATC